CTAACTCGGCCAGCTGCCGGGTAGTGGTACCAGCTCGACCTCAGCTGCCCGGAAGTAACACCAGCTCGACCAGTTGCTTGGAAGCTCGACCAGCTGTACGGTAGTCGAAGTAGTTGTGATGTTCACTCACCGAACGAGCTAATTGGGCGGTTACCAGAGGAAGAGCGAACAGGTATCGGTGAAAAGGTGCGAATGGAAGGATTCCAACGAATCGGTGCGAGTGAAAGGTGCATCGAACAGGTGCCTTTTCGAACGGAAGGGTTTGGCCGAAACACTATAAATAGTGGGTCTCGCCTCAGTTTTGGACACGTTCGGAAATCGGGAAATACTTGTATTCTTGAAGTTATCTTCGAGAGAAACACTAAGGAGAGTCGGAATCCGATAAAAGGTTAATACCGGAGACCATAAGATCGGTTGTGGGGTGCATATGGGTTCGGTAGTTGCATGAGCATGATCATATGCATAACTTTGTCCGGAAGGATTGTTCGGAGAAAAAGGGACGCGGCTCGGCGAGTGGAATCATTGATGATACTCGACCGAACTGATGCGCGGACTACCTCTCTACCGAACATTCGAACGGGCAGAGTTGCTAGTGTAACTTGCATGCAAAACGATGGTGATTAAGTGAACATGTTACTGATTTCCTATGTGGTTTCAGGGAAAGAAGGTGATCGAGGGGATGAAAGGGCTTAGGCGCGAGGACTCAAGGCCGGAAAGATGAGTGGTGATGGATGCTGGGTAGTTAGATCGATTATACAACTTGTAATAGCCTATATGCAAACTCATAAGTTGTATCGAATCCTTACTTATTAATAAAGTATTTGAATGGTTATTTTACTCTCTATTTGCATATGACTCTAAGTAATGAATCTCAGAATTATTATAAATGGATTGTCTAAGGAATGGGCCCTAAAACTTGGTTAAGTACGGAAAGTTGTTATTAGTTCGAAAGTAACCTCTCCGGACTTAGATTATCCGGGATGGAGTCTTTCAATAAGCACATTGACAACAAAGGTACTGTAGTTATAGAGGTCCTGCTATTCTAATATGGAAACCAAGAAGATACAAGAGAATACTGGTTCTGCTTTTCAGCTTTTATGCTCAAGAAAGTGATTCTACAATACAATAAACTAAATCTGACATTCTGAGTCTATATATTTCCGTAATGTCTCTCCATCCTATATCTACAATATCCCTCAAAAAATGTAAACCGAAAATTTCCCAACTTTACATCGTGAGAGTCAAGATCACCACTCCAATGCAAATGTGGTAGATAGACCACCTTGCCATTGGCTTAGCACTTGACGGTAAGCCTTTATCAGTAACGCCAACAAGAAATCTACAATCCCCAACTGAAGGATCTAGGAAGGTGACCATGCCAAGTCCGTCAAAGTCGCAGCTCTTTTCATTTTGCATCTGCATCTGATAGTAGCTGTTGAAAGCGTATGAGATATTATCCTTTTCACCAAGCTGGCTGCACGAGCCCCCATTGTTGAGCGTTGTGCAATCTGCTGCACTGCAAGCAAGTCTGAGGTGGTCTCCAACTAGGGTCATGTCTCTCGATGGGTGAGCCACACACCACCTAGAAGGAAGGTACTGCACATTTTTCGCATTCTTGAGTCCTCTGTTGCCTAGTCCTAAGTTGAGACGATACTTGGCCTGTCCATCAAAAGAGAAGATTCCCCAGTGCCTCTCAAAGTTACCAGGCAGTGTGCTTTTCGCTCCCTCGTCAAGCAAACCGAAAAGATAAACATCCGCAGGAGGGGAGCCTGGCCTGAGTGGAGTTCCTTTGTTGCTCAACACATGGCTAATGAGCCCTTGATTAAAAACCTGGGCTGCCGTGAGATTAGCACCAACTGCTCCGTCTGTAGGCCAACCAATCTCACCAATAACTATAGGCATTTGACCATATCCAAGCTTAGTGAGAGCAGCAACAAGAGTATCAAAGTTCCCATCAAACGCATTATAGTAAGTGCTAGGCCCATCCGGAACCGGATGACTACTTCCCTCAAAAAAGGCATAGTCTTGTGGGAAATCCGAGTTTCCATAGAGACTAAGGAAAGGATAGATATTAACCACAAAAGGAGAGCCATTGGAGTTGAGAAATGAAACCAATTGAGTCATGATCTGTGTGAGCTCAGGCCGGAATGTCCCCTGGGAAGGAACATTAGCCTCATACGCATCTGCGTTGCAAGGAACCACCAACTTCACATAGTTAGCTAGATTCGCCCTAACCAACGATTGTTGCAGGTTAACCATAGCTGGGACTACATAGTTCTGAAACTGGCCACCATAACTAGTCAGAAACGGCTCATTCCCTACTGCAACATACCTACCATTACAAGATTCATCCGAGAAACTGGTCAATCATCTGCTAAATCATAGCTTAAAGACACAGGTACTCGAGAGAACAAGGTACCTAATATCAGCACCGTTTTTGCCGATGAAGCGAGAGAGGTTTTGCTGGACAAACAAATCAGGATTGAAAGTAGCGAGCATCTCGTTGGGAATACCGACCATAACTTGGATTCCAGTACCCATCAAAGCTCGAAGCGCATCTGGATTCGTATCAAAAAGCTTAACTTTAGTAATCTTGTTCGCCTTGAGTAGATCCACCACAGTGGAAGGTCTCAGCTTGTGAAACGACACCGTTCCCCAGTTGACACCGATTGCTGAATCCACTTCATACGAGACAAGGAGAAGGGAGAGAGTAAAGAGAGCAGCTACAGCTACACCGCTTCCCATATTTTTCACTGAGAGCTCTCTGTCACAGTGCTCGAGAAAGATGGCAATTTTTTTCAAAGGGTTATACAGCTTTATTTTTATAAAAACAACTGTGTACTGTTTTTGTTTAGACAAACGTCACAACGTTCAGTTACCAAATACAAAAACGACAGAGAGTTTTAATTTTGGCGACAATACAGGTTGATGCATCGCTGGATGATTTGCTGGAAAACAAACCGTCCTCCTCCGTCTTTATAGAAAGAAAATAGATTCTGTTCTTCATCCTCCGTATCTTCTTCGTCTTCTTCATCGGGAGAAGAGTAAAATCGCCTGAACCTGCGGATTTTTTTTTATTCTTCCATCTCAATGTCTTATGCTTATCTCTTTAAGTATATCATCATCGGCGATACTGGTAACTCCCTCTCCTTCTCTCTTTTTTCTTTTTCCAAACCATTAGGAATTGAAATGAATCAAGGACCTATATATGTTTTGTTGCTAAATTTGAAAAGCGAATTGATCCGAATCTATGTCGTATCCAACCATTTTTTGGTGAGGTTTAAGGGATCGAGAGGCTTTTGTGATGGTTGAATTGTGTATATTGATTCTGATTTCAGGAGTAGGGAAATCATGCCTTTTGCTTCAGTTCACCGACAAGAGGTTTCAACCGGTGCATGACCTCACAATTGGTGTTGAATTTGGGGCTAGGATGATCACCATCGACAACAAACCCATCAAGCTTCAGATCTGGGATACGGTCTCTCTTTGAATTTTCATGATTAATCTCTATCTCTCGTTTCATGAAAATTGATTCAGATTTGTGCACATCATTTCGTATAATTTGGTTTTCTTTGACCATCTGTTTGGCTATTTTGAAGTTTCATAGCCTATGCACGACGATTTCATTTTTTCTTTTTCCCCACAATTCATGGGATTATTGTCAGAAATTTTGGAACTCCTGTCTTTGTCTTGACTTATATTTTTCTGTGATATGGGCATGGCAGGCTGGTCAAGAATCCTTCAGGTCTATCACAAGGTCATACTATAGAGGGGCTGCAGGGGCGTTGCTTGTCTATGATATCACAAGGTAAATCATTTGCGTCTTTCTTTATGTTAGCGAGGGTAGACTTGATTTTGGAAGCAAATTACAAAATTTTTTATCTCCGTTTTTGTAGGAGGGAGACATTTAACCATCTAGCTAGCTGGCTAGAAGATGCAAGGCAGCATGCAAATGCAAATATGACGATTATGCTCATTGGGAATAAGTGTGATCTTGCTCACAGAAGGGCAGTGAGTACAGAGGAAGGAGAGCAGTTTGCAAAGGAGCATGGTCTTATTTTCATGGAGGCCTCTGCCAAGACTGCTCAGAATGTTGAGGAGGTAAACCCCCATACGTTCCAATGTGGTTTGCTTAGGCATAAACATAGATCTCGATAGGGCAAACTTTTCTCGCATGCTTTCTCTAATGTCCCTTAACTTAGAATACCAGAATTAATTTAAGCGGTTGGAGACAGAATAACAATTAGAGAAAGGAGAGAGGAACAAGTAGATTTTGGTCAAAGTTGTTATATTATATTTGCTGACTACCAAATACCAAACATGATTTCGACTGGTGTTGTGTTTTGTGAATTTTTACCAGGCATTCATTAAGACAGCCGCAACAATATACAAGAAGATTCAAGATGGTGTATTTGATGTGTCAAATGAGTCATATGGAATAAAAGTCGGATATGGAGGAATTCCAGGACCATCAGGTGGAAGAGATGGATCTACCTCGCAAGGAGGAGGCTGCTGCGGCTGAGATGGGAAAGGTTTCTATATCATGATGTAAAAAAGATCACATATGATATAGCAAAAATGTCTCTGTTTCTTTCTATAGTTGTAAATCGTTTTGGGATTCGATTTGGTGACTGTGTTGTGGTGGGTTTTGGAACGGTTTGACAATTTATGTGTATTGTCTATTCATATATCAAAAATTAAGATGTGTTTTGCGTATATAAGGATATGATGGTGGTAGGATTCTCGATCTGCACTATCTAGCACAGAAACTTCTATGTATCCACAGCCAACAACCTTGCATTCCAACCACGGTATGCCCCATTCACTATTCCTCCTCTCTGTGGAAGCACCGTCTCTAGCCTCCTGATCAACCCTCAACACATGCTTAGAATCAAGCATTTCGATATCCTCTTTCTCTGCCAAAGCCTTACTCATCACCTTCACAATTATCCCTTGTAACAACCAGTGATCTTTACGATTCATCTGCTCCTTCTTCTTCTCTTCCTCCATTAACTCATCCAAAGCAAATCTTCTATTCTTCTTGCTCCTCTCCGAATCCAACTATTCTTCCTCTTCTCCCCTTTCTCAACCTTCTCCTCCTCTTCATCCTCAAACACAAGTTTCGAGCTTTCCACTCTCTCTTTACCCGTAGTAACCTGTTTAACCCCTCCACACCAAGAGCAAATCCAACCTTAACCCCAGTCTTCAACTTCAGTTCTTCATCTTTCTTCTTCTCATCAATATCCTCAACAACTTCTTGATCATTTCTTTCACATTCACCACCAGCATTCAATTTATCAGCAGCTCTCTCAATACGTTTTTGAATCTCCCTCTCTTGTTTCTCCTCCTCAGCTAAATCACTCTTAACTCTCTTGTTCTTCAAGCTCTCTTTTAACAAAGTCTCAGAATCTCTATCAATGCAAGTAATAAACCAACCTTTAGGAGTCTCTTCAACCTCTGTTTCAAAATAGAAATTAGGGTATATGTGTTTCAAAACAAATTTTTTTTTCTTTCTATGAAATAATTTTCTTAAATTGACAATTAGCAGCTAACTAGAAACAGATAAAAGGAAAATAGTGATAAGTTAATTTTTCTATATTTTGGGTACTTCTTTTATGTTAAAAAATCTAAATATATATTAAAATTAATTATCAAAATAAATGAACCAAAAATAAGAAGCTATTGCCTTAAATAAAACAAAGAAAGCAAGGCTTTGCCATGAAGAAATGGCACGTATCAATCATTCACAACAGACTCATTAATCTGCAATCCCTTAATCTATAAAGTTTCCAAGGCTCTGATAATATAGAGACAACTTAAGCTATTCTCGTTTGATTCAAAAACGTTTAACGTAAAAGACATCTTTCTGATTTTATTTTGACATCATCATACAACAAAGGGATTCTCTTCTCTTCTCGAACAAGGGATTTGTTTTTGCCTGCAATGTCTTATGCTTATATCTTTAAGTATATCATCATTGGCGATACTGGTATAACTGGTTTCTGCTTCTTTTATTTTTACAATCCTTCTCATACGCTATTTTTCATATCAATCATTTCTTGGTGGACAAGAAACATTTCAGGGGTGGAGGGGCTTGTGTTGTTGATTGACTTTTAATATGAATCTGGTTTCAGGAGTAGGGAAATCATGCCTTCTGCTTAAGTATACCGACAAGGAGTTTCAAGCGGTGCATGATCTCACCATTGGTGTTGAATTTGGAGCTAAGATGATCACTATCGACAACAAACCCATCAAACTCCAGATCTGGGATACGGTCTCTTTCAACTTACTTCTTGCATGTTTTCTTTGGTTGGGTTGATCTTATATACTTTGATAGTCTGATCTTATATATATGCAACTTCATTGCGTATGAGTCGAGACTTCATGTCTTTATTTTTCCACAATTCATGGGATTATAGTCATGATGAGCAGCCTAGACTTAATTTAAAGAAAATTTGAAACGCGTATCGTTGTCTGAACTAAATTTACTACGTGATATGGGCATGGCAGGCTGGTCAAGAAACCTTTAGGTCTGTTACAAGGATGTATTATAGAGGGCGTGCCGGAGCATTGCTTGTCTATGATATTACAAGGTACAACACTTGCTTCTTTTCTTTTTGTTATCAAGAGTTGACTTGATCGTGAAAGAAATTTCATTTTCTTGTGCTGTATAGTAAGTAACTAGAAGTTGAGCATGATGTTGACTTTAGCTGTCTCTTTTGTCATAATTATTTTGTTTTATTTTCCGATAAAGCAGGGACCAGAACTAGATTTGTATATATGTGAAAAATGTTATCGTCTCAGTGCAGACACTCACAAATATGTTTGATCTCCGTTTTTGCAGGAGAGAGACATTTAACCATCTAGCCAGCTGGCTAGAAGAGGCAAGACAGCATGCAAGTGAAAAAATGACGACAATGCTCATTGGGAATAAGTGTGATCTTGAAGCAAAAAGGGCAGTAAGTACAGAGGAAGGAGAACAGTTTGCAAGGGAGCACGGTCTTATATTCATAGAGGCCTCTGCCAAGACTGCTCAGAATGTCGAGAAGGTAAGCCCCCATGCATGCATTCAAATGTTTAGTCTCAAACGAATGTCTCTAAAGCGCACTTTAAATTCGATTCGTTCTCTACTGTCCTGTATGTAACTTCTTATATCCCCACCAGTTCAGTTATGAGAAGGAATTAGTCGGTTGCAAAGTTAACATAGATTGCCAAAATTAGAATACCAAAGTTAACTAAGAGGAGGGAAATAGAGGAATAAGTAGATTTTTGGGGTTATTTCCTTATTGAATGTGAGAGAGAAGAGCCTCTATGCTTTACTTGTTCCACTCCTCCTAACACACTAAATAGAAAGTCTAAATCATTATGTCGTTGACCTGTTTTGTGTGTTTGAATTTTTGGCTAGGCATTCATCGAGACAGCCAAAATAATATACAAAAGGATTCAAGATGGTGTGGTTGATGTGGCAAATGAGCCTGGAATAAAGCCAGGGCCATTTGGTAGAAATGATGCATCCTCCTCCCAGCAAAGAGGACGATGCTGCGGCTGAGATGGGAAAGGTGTCTATATTATCATGTAAAAAATGATAGCATATGATATAGCAATATGTGTTTGCTTCTTTCTATTGTTGTAATTCGTATTGAAGTTAAATTCAATGACTATTTTGGTGGCTTTCAGTCTTTCAAATCATATTGGCAGTGTATAGGTTTATGTCTATTTTATCGAAAATTTAAGATGTGTCGCGTACGTATCTAAGAAATGTATTCCATTTGCATGGCATTTGAAACAGTATTAAGAATATGATGGAGGTTAAAAGTGGGTAATATGTGATTCCATTTGGTGAGTAATATGTGATTCCATTTGCCAAAACGAAGAGGAAGTGTACATAATGAGATGCAGAGATATACAACAATTAGATCATTTTTTGAACTTTCGTCAAGGGGAACGATGTCTTCTATGGTGTACTCGCTTTAGGATGCAATGCCGCAGTCTTTTGCTAAAGGCCTCAAACCTTTCCAATTTTTCGTGTCTAGACTTCTTTGCATCTGTTTCACATCCCTTCTTGATTTTCTTCTGCTTCCTCTCTTCTTCTCCTTCTTCTTTTTCTCTAGTACAGTCTCTAGGCTTTTGTTCCGTGTTTATATCAGCAGTTTTCTTGACCTGGAAGGCAATATATCAGAAACGAGACCCCATCTCACCAAACATCAAACTGCTTCATAAAACAGTTTCAAAGAGCATCAACCTGATCACCCTCGCCAGCGGTCAGACTCTCATCTTCTTCAGTTCCTCCTAGTGAAGAGCATCTGCCCCAGCTTTCCCTGTTGGAGCTTGTAAATGAACAGCCTTCTTCAAACTGATCAATAGGCTTCCCCTGCCAAATAACAATTTACATATTGTGACCAAGGTAACACTTGAGGTTTTTTAACAGAAATGGTGTGTGGAAACATTGTTAGAGCTCCTACTAGGCTACTAATTCACCATTTTTTTTGGTTTTTGCACATGCTCCAGTTACCTCAAAGTTATCAGGGTCGTCCATGTTGTGATCATTATCTTCTACAGGCACGTCCTCCTGTTTCATTAGTGAAAGTTTATCAAAAGAAATGAACCAAGTAACAGAAAAAAAAATCATGCAAGAATGAGAACTGGTATACTGTATCTATCATGGGTATGGCTTCTGAAAGGAGCTCATTCGTTGGCTTTGTGGTTAGAGGGGCAGGAGGCGCAGAAGAAGAACTTGCCACATCGATACATGCCGAGCGAAGACCAGATATGATCTCATACAGAAAACTCTGGCAGTACAAGGAAACCACACAGTTAGATTCTTGTGCATGATCGTTAAATGTGCTAACTCTGATGGAGACTAATTTATAATTTTGTTGTGTGAGATGACCACCAAATGTTCTCAACCATCATATAAATCTACCCAACTCTTTAGTGACTCTAGCAGTATGTCTAGGCAATGTCTTTGTTTTCTATATTACTTAAGTGCAGAGAATATAAGAGACAGCAACACAGGACTTTTTTCTTCAGGGTTGCTCCACCATGGAGTGCAAATTACCTCATCCAAACCAGTAGCGTTATTGATATCTCCCAAACTGTAATAACTTTCGAGTTTAGATGAGCAAGCTGAAGAAATTTGTGGCGGGCGAAGAACATTGTAGAAGAATATTAACACTGAATCGTAATAAGATTGCGGCCGCGAAGAGTTGTGATCACCATCAAACTTGATGATATTTTTGTCTCCCTGCAGAGTTACCAGAAGGTTGGTACATCTAAAGTAAATAAAAAAAATTGATATGGTTGGACAATAAGATATAACCACAATTTATGTAACTACCGCATAGCACTTGAGAATGAGGTCAGAGTGATGAGGTTGGATGAATTTGTCTCCGCTTGCATGTCCAAATAAAGCTGGAATGAAAGTCTTGGGCGAAACCTGGGAGAAAATTCAAAAACTTCACTAAAATGGTACCATACTACCTTACTTGGAGCGAATGACAAGAAAAACAGAGAGATGTGCTTCTACAACACCTTAACACAATTGAGATCCATAATATTAAACTTCGCCTTTTTCTGAATTATTCGCCGCATGTACTGCACAGCCACTTTAACCTAATTGAAAAGTGAGATAAAGTTACACTGCAAGCATAAGAAAGTCTCTAGAATATGCTAACATCGTTTGGAATGGTAAGGAAACTATACTGGACTCTGGTAGCCATGTGAATATACGAGTCATACAGCTATGAAACTTCCCATTCATAAATTTTCAATTTTTATTAGCATGTTCAGTAGACATGTGTAGCAATAGTTACTACACAAACAAAAAAATCAATCTACTTGATCCTTGTACAGCTAATGTGATGAATGAAATTCATGATTCAGGTTTTCATAAATACAGTGCCAGTCTCAGCTAGTATATATTGCTATGAAGAATAGGGAAAAAGGAAGCAGAGGAACATACTGTGAATTTCGGAAGTCGGATTTTGTAGACATCCACTAGTTCCATCATCAGATCAAATAAGTTTGAGAATGCACTATCTAAGACCATTCCAGCAATTGAAGGGTCTTCTGCTCCATAAAGAAGGCTGCACAGTTTACCCCCACTTTATTAAATGATGGAGAGAACAACAAAAGGAATCTAGAGAGTTCACACTCTTTTCAGATCATAGACCTTAAGAAAGCTGGCAAATCTATATAGTCAATACAACTACTGGTTACTCTTTACGAGTAACTGATAATTAGTTCAAGAGGTAACCTGGTAACTGCACCCATAGATCGTCCCCAAAGTCCAATACGAGACACCTGATTGCTGTTTCGCAGGTAAGATACTACAGTCTTGAGATCATCTTTCTAGCTTATGTTTAACAAGAAAAAGTTAGACAATATTCGAAGAGAAGAGAAGCTTGGAAATTAAGACACGGAAACACACCTCATGCCAGCCAAGGCTTACATAATCACCATCAGATAAGCCAGATCCCGAGAAGTCAAGGGTGAAAACAGTAATGTTAGATGGAAGAAGAACCATAGCTGCCTCATTTGCATCTGCCCTACATCCACTGTTCAGATTCCAAAACAAACAGTTCTTATTTATTCAACTAGTCGTAAACAAGGTCTTAGTTCATAGAGAGATGTGCAAGTCTCTATGTACCTATTGCCATGGCAGTATATAACACATGGGAGAGGAGTATCCTCCTGAGAAGACGAGGGAATGTAGTGACTGCAACGCAAAGTGTGACCCCTTGAATTTGTAAGCTACCCGAGTACAAAAAAATGAGACCTATAAGGTTAACCTCAAGATAAACCAATTTTTTCCAAAAATGGCAGTAAGAAAATACAAAATCATAAGTTGCCCATACTTGCCTCCAAGTCTTGTCTTTTACACTTGGTGCCACCGAGGCTAAACTCCTTCTCCCACAAATACTGATCAGGATCATACTCAGCCCTGTCAAAGCCCCAATAGGCAACAGCTATCAACTGAATGCAAAAAGGTTGAGACTTGATAAAGCAAAAGAGTCTGGATAAGTTACCTAGGAGGACGAATTACAAAGTTGATGAACTGATCAATCATCTTGATTCCAAATACCAATGAACTCATGAGCTAGTAGCAGTACTCTTCTGAACCATACACCATGTTTCTACAGACATTGCTTCGTCTTCAGCAACCAAAAATCCCAAACAAATTACCCAAACAAATTACAAGTGAGACAACAAAAGCATCATGCTTTCGAGAGTCCCATTTCCCATATAAACTCTGAGAGATGCGCAGATCCCCAAAGACAAAAGAGAAAAGAAGAAACCTCTCTCAGCTTTTGCTGAAAAGCAAGAAAGACCACCCAAAATTTTACCTACTACGAACAACAGCAGCTGAAAAACATAAAGGGGATAAATATATAAAAAAGAAGAAAGCTTTTTTATTAAAGAAAAGAAATGACAGATGCCCCAGATCTTGAAAATGAGTCAACTAGAAAACCGAGTTTGATGAGAGTTAACTATTACAAAGCCGCGACTTTTGATGAAAGGAAATGAAAAGGTAGAATCAGATTTCAGATCTCGAGGTGGCAGATACTCGAGAAAACAAGAAACAATTTTTACATTTTGCTATTGTTGAAGGATCGAACACAGGTCCTTCTGGTCATTGCCATCATGAGGCTCGACCTTTGTGGTTCATCATGAGTTTTGCTGTTCCTTTCTTCTCCAGCTCACTAGTGAGACCTGATAGTGATAGATGCATGGACCGGTAAATCTTTTAATAATATCTAAGAACATTAACTTTTTAAGGGTGAAATGTCAAAACAAATCTAAAGGAAGTTTTTGTCCAAAACAAAAAAAATCCACAGGAAGTTAAATATAATGTTTCTAGAACAATTCTTGGGTTCACCCCTAGGGGTGAACCTATCTCATTCACCCCCTCTAAGGTAACCAATCAAAATTAGCCATGTCATCTAATTAAATGAATTAAAATAATTTATCTTATTAATTACAAACTTTAAATTTTAACCACTATATTATTAACCTAAACTTAAATATAATTTAGTTTATTTATAAAATCTAAACCCTAAAGTACTAATTTATCAACCCAAACCAAAATATAATCTTGTTTAATTACAAAATCTAAACCATAACCACTATTTTGTCAACCCAAACCAAAATATAATTTCGTTTAATTACAAAATCTAAACCCTAACTACTATTTTATCAACCCAAACCGAAATATAATTTTGTTTATTTAGAAAATATAAACCCTAACCACTATTTATAAACCCAAACAAAAAAATAAATTCATCTATTTATAAAATCTAAACCCTAACCATTATTTTATAAACCCAAACCAAATAAAATTTCCTAAATAAAAATCCTACAGAATTTGTTTCCTTAATTTGTTTTATTTTATGATTTTAATTTTGATTTATTTTTTAAATAGAAAATGACATGGCACGTTATTATATTTTGATTGGTTAATTAAGAGGGGTGAATGAGATAGGTTCACCCCTAGGGGTGAACCCAAGAATTTTTCATGTTTCTAAGTGCACAAGGTTATTTTGTCATTCTTCTAATTATACAGAACCAAAAACACTAATTAGATATATATTTTGTAAACCACTTTTAATTTGTTATTTATAACGACTATAAGTCCAAAATTTGAAAAGTTTACATGGCATAAATTATTGTATTATGGATTTGGGTTCAATTTTAAAGGATCAAGTATATATTTTAGCTAGGAATAGTAAGTTTTGGGTAAAATTTTTAATGTAAAACATGGGTTTAAGTCAGATTTATAGGAGTCAATATACAAAATTTAATGGGGTCAACCTTATAGTTTTCCAAAAAAAAAAAATAGAAGGATAGTATTAATTTTTGTTGGAATCAATTGACCTCTCCATTATATGGTTTGATTGATAACAAGATTTTGATCCGCGGTATATTGCATGATTATTTTTTAAAAAAATATATTAATTTATATGTTTAGTAAATTTTGTATATATATTTCCTATTTTTTGTATTTTTAAAATAGATACCCTTATATACATAGAATATTTAGAGTATATCAACTATATATATCTAACTTTGAATATTTATAATATGCAAATACTTTTTAAAATATAGTAACAATTACTTACAGTTGTAAGGGTGTGAATTTGGGAGATTAGAGAAATTATAATTTTTTTGATCAAATATATTTTAAATGTGTTTAATTGATAATGTGTTTAATTGATAATGTGGTCTTTTAATATGTTTGATTGATATATAAATCTATATAATAGTTTTGGATAATTGAGTTTGTTTTGCATTTAAAATTAAAGTGTTGATAAAAAATCTTTTAAAGACGATAAAAATATTGTGTTCTGAGAGGTTAAATATATATTGAGGTGATTAATACACCAATAGCAAATCGGAAGGAAATTTTTTTTTGAAATCATGTGCCAACTGAATTTTGGGGGAAATTAATGTCATTGACATTTTCTGTAAATAGTTTAGAAGTATATGATTTATTTAAAAAACTGATTTAAAAATGTTAATATAGATTAGATATACGTTTTCTGTATATTTATAATTTTATATATTTGATCTAATCTAAAAGTTTTAGGAGCTAAGTAGCTAACTCACATAACACTTAACATATATTTAAATTTGATCACCTCACCATATTAATTTGGCTTGGTTTGAATTTAGATATAAATGAATGATTTTTAGTAATTTATTTTGTTTTAGTTCTTTTGTTTCAAATTAAGTGATGTACAATTTTTTTTCTATGTAAAATTAATTACTGTTTTAATTTGTTTTTGACTATTTGTATTATACCATCCCTTTTGTTATTGGTTGAAGTGTGATAAGTAAATAATAAATTGTGCTTTTAATTGTAGGAAAAAAATTGTGCTTTTAATTAGAAATGAGTAGAAATTAAATATTTTTTATTTATGTACTAAAACTTCAAATATCAAATATTTTGAAACATAGAAATTACATAGTTTGGTAAATTTTGGTTTATTGGATTTATCCGATTTGGTTGCATAAGCATTTGTTTGGTTTAGTTTATTTGGTATAAGAATTTCTTAACCGGTTCAGTTATAATTGAAATTTGGTTTGCTTTGAAATTAAATATCGGTTCAATTTGAATCTTGACGGTTTAGTTTAGTTCTCATGTCAATCCCTAATTAGTATAATTTTTTTTAATAAGTTTATGATGACAACTGATATCTGATAATCACAGCAGCACCGTCATCAACAGAAGATATTTTATAATTCCATTTACTGAGCCGTAACTCTCCCCCAAGTCATGAGTCATGACTATTTCACAATTGCAACCGCCTCTTGCGTGCTCTTGAGGAAACGATCCACATGCGTCTCCTTCGTTTCCGCTTCTACTCCGATCGAAATCGAACTCTGAGGCGTTTCGTCTCTTCTAATCACACGATTACTTGATTTCGACTTGCTGGTTTTTTTTTTTTTCCACTTTTGCTGCTAGAATTTTGATTTGCAGAGTTCAAAGATGTTGGAAGATCAGGTAGCGTACTTGTTACAAAGGTATCTGGGGAACTATGTGAGGGGATTGAATAAGGAAGCTCTTAAGATTAGTGTTTGGCAAGGTGAGATTGTTTCCGATTTTCTTGTTGAATTTGTGTAATGTCTGGATTTTGAGTTTATAAAGTCCAAAATGTGCTACTGAGTAGCGATTTTGAGTTGTGAATGAATGTGAGAACTGGTCAGATTTTGTGTGATGTGACTTTGATGTATATGAAGAGCTCCTCTTGGGTTTTAATTAGTTTTATGGTATTGGGTTCAGTTCGACTTATATTCTGTGTAGTTATTGATAGGAAAGTCAATAGTCACACTTCAAGGTTTAGCTATTGGCAGACGAGTGGGAGTACAATTCAAGGTTTAGTGTTTGTTTGACGGAACTACCCGCTTTCGTGCATGCTTTATAGCTTTTGCTGGTTGTTTTATAATTGCTTAGTTGCTTGATGCCACAATAACAATAAAAATAGTTGCTTAGTTGCCTTTCACAGTTACAATTAAGAGCATATGACTGAATAATAAGAAGGATTTAGCATATCCCTTTCAGTGAAATTGCTTTCGATTTTTTCACTTTTAATATAGCTCTTGGTTTTACTTGATTTCGCAGGAGATGTAGAGCTGAAAAATATGCAACTAAAACCTGAAGCACTTAACGCGTTGAAGTTACCTGTGCGGGTTAAAGCTGGATTTCTGGGATCAGTGAAACTCAAGGTGTTGTGTGTGTTTTTTTTCCTATCTTATCTTACCTAAAGAATGTATACGTGAGTGCATTAGTTATCTTTTATTTTATCTACCCCTTTTGCTCATGAATAGTATTTCACTTGTTGTCATGGTCTCTGTACGTGATCTTACTCAATGTTATGCATTAATTAATGTTTTTAGGGTTAATATCAAATTTTCTGGGACTAGACCTTTCAATAATTCACCTTCCGATTGGTTTCTACACTCAATTTGACCCATTTATTGATACGTTTTAAAAATCATCGTTTTAGGTACCATGGACTAGGCTTGGACAGGAGCCTGTAGTGGTTTATCTTGACCGGATTTTTGTATTAGCGGAACCCGCAACTGATGTTGAAGGATGTAGTGAGGATTCTATCCAGGAGGCAAAAAGAAATCTAATACGGGTGAGACATGTTGCCATGTTATGACCATATGCCATTATCTAATTTGAGTTATTGAATAAAATTTCTGTTTTGTGGTAAACAGGAAATGGAAACGAAACTAGTAGAAAGAGCTCGTCGACTACAGACTGAAATGGTGTGGTGCTACTCTCTCGTAGTAGATAACGTAGGGAGAAATATTGTATTAAACTAACAACCATATTTTCTTTTTCTGTTTAAAGAACAAATCATGGATGGGATCATTGGTCAACACAATCGTTGGAAATTTGAAGCTGTCAATATCAAATATTCACATAAGATACGAGGATCTAGAGAGGTAGCTAAATTATAACAGAAGCACTTTTTCTTGTTCTCGATTGTCTAAACATTTGTATGTTAACAGCTTATTAAAATGTGCAGCAATCCCGGCCACCCGTTCGCAGCTGGTGTTACACTAGAGAAACTCTCAGCGGTAACCATTGATGAGAGTGGAAAGGAGACTTTTATTACTGGTGGGACTCTGGACTCCATCCAAAAGGTATAGATTTGTTCATCAATATCTGACTCGCACAAGCATTTCTGGTCTTATGGATTACTTTGAATTTAAGGTCCCTCTGTTTCTTAGTTTTGTTTCTTTATGAGGGTTTTATGTTAAGTTCTCATGCACGTTTGCTTGTAAGTATGTAGTTTGGTAGTTTATTATTGTAATATATCAGTAAGTTGAGGTTATATGGGTATAGAAGATTGACTTGGACTGTTCTTTTGGAGGGTTAGTGTTATGTAGTAGATCATTGTACGGAACTAATATCTGGATTGACTGCATTGTGAAAGGAATACCCATGCCAAAAAACAAAACCAAGGATACGTTACATTATAATTTCTTGCTATAACTGTTTGCTTTTTCCCTTTTTTTGCAGTCTGTTGAACTTGATCGGCTTGCATTCTATCTTGATTCTGACATCTCTCCATGGCATATTGACAAACCATGGGATGTTTTAACTCCTTTTGAGTGGGATCAGGTATTAATAAGCAAAGTC